TATTGTGAATTTGGAGGTATGTGATATAAGGCGGAAATAAAATAAATAATAATATTTAGGTGTTTTTTTAAAATAATACTTAGTATTTATTTGACTACTATTTTACTCACCGCCATCTATTTTTTAAAATAAAATATATTTTAAAATTATACTTGTTGGTATTTTTCAATTTTTATTTTAAATATTATATTAACTTGTCGCATATAATATTAGAACTCTCGAGATAGTGGAGTCCTAACACATTTTAGAAATAAGATCGAAATAATAAATTTTGATAAAATTTCTTTTAGTGGCGGGCCATTTTATGATTTATCTTTAATCATGAATTGGACATTGACAATTGAAATTTTCTAAGATTTGGTTCTAATTAAACTTTTTATTTATGATTTCATCTTATTATTATTATTATTATTTTGACAAGGATTTCATCTTATTATAGATTTACAATTTGTTAGCTAGAAAATAGTTCAATTCTTTAGAATAGGAGCATATTATATAGACAAATATGTAAATACTGTTTAATAATTTTTATAGTCCTTTTTATACATAGTACAGATGATAATTTATAGTTTAATAAAAAAATGATAATTTTATAAAAAATAGTTAAATTTATAATTTAAATAAGCTACCATGCCTACTTAAACTGATTAAAATATCTAGATTAAAAAGTCGTCAATTCGAATCCAACTTTATATGTTGTATTAAAGAAAAAAAATGAAAAATAGTTGTATTAATTATACATTTTTTAACGTCTAGCAGACCCTATCAATAGAAATAAAAAAGAAGGCAGACGTATATGTAATTTAATTAATAACTTGTCTAAAAAAAATTAATAACCACGTGTTGTCGCATTTTCCAGGTCTCACATAAATATATATATTTTCTCACTTCTGAAAAGTGCACGTGCTTTACCCACTCTGGAAAGTAGACTCGTTAATAACAAGAATATTAAAAAATAATAATAATAATAAAATACTTTTAAAATTATAATAAAATTTCTAAATATTGTGTTCCTTAATAATATCTAAAAAATAAGATACAATGAATGTAGCGTTAATTTCATTTCAATATTTGTATTTTTCTTTTGGATCATGTCATATCAGTTGTATTATCATCAGGGAGATGAGTTTAGACCGACAGATAACCAATATCATAGGTCTAGAGTTCAACCAGATCCAAGGCATGACCAGATCTAGGACGTACCCAGGCCTATGGTCCAACTAGATCCCAGCTGACCAGGTCTCGATCGACTGGGTCTTAGCGATCGACTGACTAGCACCCGTGCCTGATTTTCGTGTTCTGCTGATAAAGCCCAATGATGGGCTGAATCCATTCTCTTGTACCGTCCAACCTGCGATTGTACTATCTCTAAACTATTTAGGAAGAAAATATATCTTGTCAGTCTTAGGATTCTGAACTCTATAGATAAAGAGAGAAATCTCACAATCAAAGTACCAACAAAAACTCTACTTGTTGTGTATGGCTAGCACAACATCCGCATGTAAACCTTTATATTTTGCAGGTTTGTTGAATCTCTTTTTATTCTTAAAGATTGATGTAAATTTAGTAATTAAATCCAAAAAGCCAAATTTGTATATCAATAGATCGTAAATTTTTAGTGGGTATATCTTGACTTATTTAACTCACTCATGTAATGAAGATAACTTTTTCCCTGTATTAGTGTACTGCATGGTATCATAACTTTTCATTGATCTATCGCTTTAATTTCCAATGACAAGTCTCCATTCATTGTACAATTTTCTGTCTTGCGTCTCTCTCTACCATGGCTTCTATGAAAATGACCTTCATTGTCTAGTCGTCTCATTTCCAACCGTACAAATTTGGTCTCTATCGAGGTCGATGATACAAATTACACTCTTCAAGTTTCAAATCAAAGTTATTCTGAAGGTGCACAAGTTTTTGGGCTCCATCAACGATCTATTGAAATTGTATTTTGAATTTTTAAAATATCTATTTTAATATTTAGACTTCTGGAAACAATTAATACCTGCCAAGATAATATCGGTCCACTCAGTACTTGTCTCGACCACGTTCTTTCCATAAGCTTGATTTTAAAAAGTAATAATAAAAAATAAGATTATCTAATAGTATCATGCTAATTCATTTGTAGAAAGAAAAAGAATCAAGACAGCTTGCTTTAGTCAACCAAATAATGTAGGTGACATTTCCACGTCATCTATATCAAACTGCAATATTTTAATTAAATAATTAATCCACAAGTTAACTTATTTTAATAATAGACTAGTTAATTACTTAAATTAATCTTTAGATTTGAGCATTAAATAATTTATATATACCATCCATTAGGTCTTGAATTTTCTATGTACAGTAATCTTGTAAAATTTTGTCAATCTGAGGATAATTCAACTAGTTAAGGTATCTATATCTAATTAAAAGATTGTGAGTTTAAATCTCCATCCTATACGTCATATTAGAAAAAATGGTGCAGATTTAATGATCTGAATTTTGAGATCAATTTTTGGAAAAGTTTTTATTGTCCAAAAACAAAATAATAGTTTTCTTTTGTTCTTTTTGAAATTTGCCTAAAATTAAATATAATTCTAGAAATTTCTGAACTAAATAAATAAGTTATTAATAGATAAACTTAATTTTTAAACATTGAAAGTACAAATCAAAATATTTTGTAAGTGGGACCTTAAAATTTTGAAAGCATTTCTTCGTTAAGAGTGCAAATCAAATTATGCATGTGACCCTCGAACCTTAGTTTGGTTACGCCGAATACAAAGAAAACTAGCGAACATACTTAAAAGTATAGCAACTCAAATCAACTTAGGAGGACGATTAGGTTGACAAAAGATAATCTGCCGACAATCGATTATATACCAATTCCATTGGCAATTCTTAACGGTCGACATAATTCTGTTGAATAACAGGTATAGACGCCCGCCATAACATGACACTACTATATAATGCTCCCATATAAAAGACGGAATCCCACCTTCTCCAGATCGCCAACGCAGCAAATCTGAAGTCCACCTCGACTCAAGTGCTCACGTGTCACTTCTTGATTATTGAAGTTAATCAAACAATAATACAAATGAATTATTCGTAAATTTTGAAATTAATGATAGTGAATAAATATTAATAGACATGAAATAAATCTAACAATTAATTTCTAAATAAAATATCTTTCTTGCTGACTATTTTCTCCCCCACGTTTTGGAATTCCGATAATCTGTTTTAGACGAAATTAAAGCTCTTCTAAAAGTCTATGATAGAATGTGAATCTTTCGTGCATGTCTTTATCTACAATTGATAAATACAGTAAAAAATAATTAAACATTATTGAACTATTTAATTTAAGAGCGAGGACCAAATTATTAAAAAATTATTTCATTTACATTATTATGGTTGTCCCTCCTTCCCATAGTTTATTAATCATACTTCCAACAATATAAAATCAAGCTATTTCGAGCCATTTTTATATTTTTATAGGCCATATTTGAGAGGAATTTCCAAAATAGGATCCAATTGCTTGTAAAATATCAAATTATTTTTTGTTTTTTTCTTTTGAAAAATTAAATTATTGTTTACTTAAAACCATTATTGCCAAGTTAATGCATTTTGTATACCTCATTATTGGTCCCGTCCTTTAGCTCACTTATTATTTAGAAGATTCTATTAATTAATTACTAGGATTTGAAATCTTCCTTTCAAAATTAAAATACCTCCAAATAACTTAATCTTCTTATGATATTATTACTTACACGTCACTTTTGACATTAAAGTCATAATTGTTTTTTTCAAAGAGAAAAATATGGATCTATGCCGAGAATCAAAGGAGAAAGAGATACTAATAAAATTAGAGGAATATGAATAAGAAAGACAACAATATAACTAAGACCGACAGATATCATACTTACATTAGAAATGATAAAAAAATAATTATAAATCCTAAGCAAACACAATTAACGGTTGGGATCCAGAACAAATGCTATCTTGCCGAGTAGCAACATAAACAACTCTCTAAACAATACGTAAAATAATTAGTAAGACGAGAGACACACCATGGATCTTGAAATTTTGTTCTCTCTAAATATAAGATATAAAAATAGTCCAAACAATCATTTAAACTCTACATCTATATGAACGATCTCTATTGATATGATGTATCCATGCTAAGTCTGTATCTCATAACAAACACGAGGCAATCATACCATTTTAGATAGAATTTATAAACATTCACTCAAAGAGCGTATTTCAATCCCATCAAAATAAAAGACAAAACTTTTTTTAAATCATGAATGGTTAAATGTATCAATATTTATGGTGTGTGTATACTTTGTATATATAATTGTTTGTCGTACGTGGAAAATTTATTTTATATTTTTATTATTTATTTATTTATACACTTTCCGTTGAGTGGAGGTCTATCATCCATCAACGTGGCCTACAGTTTTATTAGTATTTACACTCTTACGATTTCTTTTTCAAATTTAAATATTAACATTTTAAAATTTTTAACAACACTCCCCATTGTTATAAATTCTAAATATATTTTTTTAATTTAAAATGTGGGAATTCGAACCTCCAATCTTTTTCCTCCTACGTTTATAAAATATCTTTATTATAAAAAAATTTGAAGGTTAATCAAATATTGTTTTGATTTATGTATTTAGTTCATTTCCGTCTATGTATCTCCATTTTAATTTCTCTATTTTTAATTTTTATTAATTTTAATCTTTGCATTTCTAAAAGTAGACTATTTTAATTTATTAATTTCATTTTTTTTCTAAACCTTCCATAAATTCTTTAAAACATACTAAAATTAATTAATTATTTTTATGGTAGGTAAATGATCCAACCCACAACTTTTAATTGGAGATATATATCAGTTATCTATGTTTCCTTTGACAATTAATTAATTAAATTTGTTGAAATGTATCGATGAATTTATATTAAATATTTATTGGTCGTGCATACAATTTTTGTAACTACAAAACCTGCCCCCTTACTATTTAAGCGGCGAGTTGAGGCCAAGGAAAGCCACACCATCCGACGGCGAGTTGCAGCCATGGCGGCAGCGAATATTGCTCCGGTCCTTCTGATTTCCCTCATTGCCGCTGCTCTTGCAGGTGGCGCTTTGGCCGACGGTACTGCCAGCCCTTCAGTGGAGCCAAGTCACAGTACGGTTCCGTTCAACCGGAGCAGTTTTCCGGCGGGGTTTGTGTTCGGAGCTGGCTCCGCTGCTTATCAGGTTTTTTTTTTTCCTCCGTTTTTAGAGAGTTCCGACATGTCGTCATTGCCATTTCTGATTCATCCGTTTGGTCGATTTGTAGTTGGAAGGAGCGGCACATACGGATGGAAGAGGTCCTAGTATCTGGGATACCTTCACTAAGGATCACCCAGGTCTCCATCTCTCTCTAAGACTACAATTAATTTTAAAAAAAAAATCCGAACCAAAATTAATCGGAATTAAAATATTATTTTTTGTGCCGTTGGCTAAAATTTTCAATACAAATAAAAAATTTATTGATGTTGTTTGTTAAGATTTAATGAAATTGAAATAGAAAATATATTTTTTTAATAAAGAACTTCAATAGAAAATATATTAAGTAAGTAGTACGTACGGTGATATTGTTTTTAATTAGAACAACATTAATATTTAATTTTGATTACTATTTTATTTTACGGTCATATTTTATATTTTAATAACAAATAACAAATAATTAAATTTATTCGATATTCATATATATAACTTTTTTTTATTCTATATCATTTTTTTATTTGGGTTTTTGGTCAAGAGATCTATCGGTTGGTGTGTTACGGAGATCTCTCAACAAAAGTTTATGGATTGATATTATTTTTCAAACTAAATTAACACTCAATCCTAGCACATCTATCATCAAACTGATTTTAAAATAAATATATGTCAAAATATCATATATATATATATATAAGAAGTTAATAAAAAAAAAAGAATAATGAAGGTGCTGAAACTTTATCTGCTAAATTACAAATTTTGATATTAAATTTTTAAAGTTGTGTTTGTATCTATTAATAGTTTGTTAACATTCAATAGTATGTCTAATATTATTAGATTATTAACCTATGAAACATTTTTAAAATGACCAAACTTCCCTTCAGAATATTGAGGAGGGAGCTCCTCCTAATTTGATGCATGGTCCAATAATATATAAGCAAGTGGATTTTTTAATTTTATATAATTACTATATGATCCACTTGTCTATAATCTAAGAGGAGATTCCTCCCGAAGAACATTGCTTTTTAAAATTACCTATGATCAATTTTATGTCGTCAATAAATTTGAAAACAAAAAGATGTTTAATAGGTGAAAGGAACTATTACATAGAAAATTAGAAGTTGAAATATTAACTATATATACTTTTTAAATTCACGACCACTTAAATACTTTTTAAAGTCTAAAATCTATTATATTTTGAAATTCAACAAACTTATAACCGACTATCTGACAAAAGAAAAATGATTAAAAATATAAAAACAAAATTCCATACTTTATGTATTTAAAATTATACTTTGCAAATAAATATTAAGATGTGTTATTTTAGTTGGTGAATAAAAATAGTTGTTTCGAAAAACATATGTTAGAATCATTAGGGCCTTGGAACTTATAGGGTAGATTGCTATACTTGAAATAACACATATATATAAAATTGAAGTAGATAATATATAGTTGATGTCGTTGAGTTATCGATTAAGATAAATAAATTTACAGAAAAAATATGGGATCATAGCAGTGGAGATGTGGCTACCGACTTCTACCATCGTTATAAGGTAAGATCTGTTTAGCCTTATTTTTAACTTTATGATAATTTCGAAGTTCTTTACATTTAGTCATGTTGAGAGACTCCTAGCTATTGGTCTTGCAACAATTTGAAAGGGTCGAAGTAGATTGAACACAATTGTTGCAGTAGCTCGTAAACTGCAATGGCTTTTATTTTTGTTTCTAGCATTTGACCTCCCGACACCTTTTGTTTTACGATTGAAAAAACGCTGCTATAATGGTTATAGCAATAAAATCGCTGCAATAGATTAGAAAATTGCTTCAAATAGATCCATTTTCTCAAGTTCCACAACAATACGTTATATTCTACCATATGAGTTGTGAATAAATAATAGGGAAATATTTGCTCCTCACTCGTAAGGAACAACCTTGTCTTTACAACTATAAAATATTTGACAACTGTTCATTTTCTGAAAAATCTTGACATTTTTGTATTTGTTTCTCTTAATTGTTAAATATTTAATGGTGGTAAAGATAAGGTTACTTAGATGAGCCAAATATTTACGTAAATAATATAATAATATAGATACGTATATTATTTATTTTTTAAATTGTGAGTTATGATTTGCAGGACGATGTAAAAATAATGAAAATGCTTGGGTTGGACTCTTTCAGATTCTCCCTCTCCTGGTCTAGGATCCTGCCAAGTAGGCCTTTTTTCTTTCTTCATATTTTATTATTCTAATTTTCTTCACTCAATGGTAACTTTTCTTTAAAAAAAAAATTAAATTAAATTACAGAGGGAAAACTTAGTGGAGGAGTGAATCCACTCGGCGTCAAATTCTACAATAATCTCATCAACGAGCTCCTCGCCAATGGTAATTGAAGTATATATTTTAGGACTATATTTCATATTTTAAATATATGTTAACTCATGCCACGTCTTTCATTCACTATTATACGTTATAAATCATTATTTAATTATTTATCTATAAATACAGGAATTATTCCATATGTCACTCTCTTTCACTGGGATCTCCCTCAAACACTTGAAGACGAGTATGGAGGATTTTTAAGTCCCAAAGTCGTGTAAGTAACATAATACAAATACACTAATTTTGAGCTTTACCGATCAAAACATGTCAATCTAAAAATAGAGTTTAATTGGTTAAAACATATATTATACATAATATTTATTAGTTTTTTAGTACAATAAATGTTGATATTTTAGATGTCTTTTTTGTCTTTTTGAGAACAATAAGTGGGGTGAGAATTAAAACTCATGACAGTACTAATTACAACTGAGCTAAAGTCAGGTTGGCAATATGGATGTGTACGATTGAACCTTTTAACTCTTAAAAGAATAATAAATTAAACAACATATTTGATCCCTGTACTCTCGCTAAAGTAACAATTTATTTCAATTTGTAACGATTTAGTCATGTAGTTTAAAATTTGTAACAATTTAGTCCCTATCGTAAATTTTTTTATTAAAATTAAGTATCAAATTTTATCATATATCAATTTAATCTTTCTAATTCATTAAACATATTTGGTACCTCTTTAGTTTATCGATCTATACATATAAGAAATTTAACAAAAAAAAAATTTCACAATAAGGATTAAATCGTTACCGACTTTAAATTACAAAGACTAAATTATTACATATTAAAGTTCTAAGTATTAGCGATATTGGTTATAATATTGATCGGTTGAGTTTTGACCCTAATGAAGAAAATTAATTAAGAAAAGTTTTGGTGATTAGGGATGATTATCGAGACTACGTGGACTTGTGCTTCAAATTATTCGGAGATCGGGTCAAGTATTGGGTAACCCTAAACGAACCACTTTCGTATAGCAATAACGGTTACAACACCGGCACCTTCGCTCCCGGCCGATGTTCCAACTACGTCGGAAACTGTACCGCCGGCAACTCCGCCACCGAGCCCTACATCGTCTCCCACCATCTCATCCTCTCTCATGCCGCCGCCGTCGAAGTCTACAAGAAAAAGTACCAGGTCTGTAAATTCAATCGAATCGAAGAACGAACAAAATCGCAAATCAATCTCTGAATAAACGATCAGAATCTTGTTTTCGATACTAATTTTGCTGAATCGCGATGAATTTGAAATCTACAGGCGAAGCAGAAGGGGCAGATTGGAGTCACATTGGTTACTCACTGGTTTAGGCCCAAACGCAACACGGCAGCTTCGAAAAGGGCGGCATCTCGAGTTCTTGATTTCTTCTTGGGATGGTGAGCGTCTTGTTCTTCATCGTAATCGTTAATTGAGAACTGCTGGTGGAAATTAATGAAAACAATTTTAGGTATCTGCATCCAATTACTTATGGTGACTACCCCAAGTCGATGCGCCAGTACGTGGGAGATAGGCTGCCGAAATTCTCAGCTGCTGAGGCGAGAATCGTGAAAGGATCGTTCGATTTTGTTGGAATTAATTACTACACTGGGAATTTCGTCGACGATGTGCCTTTCTCGAATTCGCCCAATAAAAGCTACAGTTCTGATATGCACGCCACACTCTCCAGTATGTCTTCTCTTCTGTTCTTTCTTATATGAGATAATTTGATTTAAATTAGTTGCAATATTTGTCTAAATCCATTGTTGAATCAGATAAATTTGAAAGTTTACAGTGAATTGATACAGCTTGCTACGTATTGGGGTAGAATAGAGGATTTCTTTTTTCCTAAAATTTTCAATCAATCAATCCTGCTGATTTTAATCGAAGTTTCCTCTCGATTCTTGATCCTTATTACAAATTCTTTTGCTTCATTCTGTTGTTACAGCGGAAAGAGATGGTGTTCTAATTGGACCAGCGGTTCGTAATCTCTCTCTCTCTCTCTATAGACTCTAGAGCTGTAATTTTCAATGCTTTTAATTAGTAGCTGAGCCATTGAATTAAACAAGTAAACGAGGGTNTTTTTGTTTCTACAGACTGGTTTGAACTGGCTTTACATCTACCCAGACGGCATTCGTCTACTCATGAAATACATAAAAGAGGAGTACAAAAACCCACCCATTTACATTACTGAAAATGGTGCCTCTCCCTGTCTCTGTCTCTGTCTCTTTAGAGGATGACTACTTAATAGATGGATTTGCTTTAATTTGTTGTGTTTTACTTTACAGGAATGGCTTTTTCAGACAATAGCTCACAGCCAATCAAGGAAGCTTTGAAAGATGGAACAAGGATCAGATACCACCATACCCATCTCGCCTCTCTTCTCCAAGCTATAAAGTACATATCTCATAAACACCAAACTCCCTTCATCAATGCTTAAATTATAAATGTCCTTGGACGTCCAATATCGTGTCTAGTAGGTTCGTGAACTTTAGAAACTGTTTGACAAGTACTTAAACTTTCATTTCCATGTCTGATGAGTTCATGAACTTCAAATTCAAATTCTATATTTAATAGGACCTTGAGCTTTAGAAAAGGTTGAATACATCAGGGATCTATGCTTAGTACATACAATTTTGCAAGGTCAAGAACTAAAGTCGTAACTTGGAACCTGGAACTTGGAACTTTGTCTAATGGTGGGAGGGTTTTTGACATGACAGGGAAGGAGTGAATGTGAAGGGATACTATGCATGGACATTGTTGGACGACTTTGAATGGGATGCGGGCTATACGGTGCGTTTCGGGCTTGTCTACATTGATTTCAGGCACAAACTGGGAAGATACCTCAAGTATTCTGCATACTGGTTGAAGAGGTTCCTTCTCCATTGATCTCTGCAATTAAAAGAATGTCTCCCACTTTGCCGGAGCTTCTATGGAAGCACAGAAGATTAATAAGAGGGTGAAGTGGGTGGAATAATAAAGGTCTGTGCTCTGTTTTTGTTTGTGGGAATTGAAACCCAGTTGAATGTAGAAGTGTTTATGAATCGAGTTGAGTCTGTTCGAACTTCGAACCGATCAATTTGGTTAAGTTTTAAATAATTAAAAGAAAAAAAAAAGGTTTAAATTTCATTTTAGTATTTTCTTTTATGTTTATTTTGATTTGTTACATTATCCAGATAATGCGTAACTGGCGTACTAGTACAATTATGTCTAAGAGACAAACAAGTTGGCTGACGTGTGGGTCAGCGAATGGATAGTAAGAGCTAAAATAGATCAAAATATTTGATTATTTTTGTCCTATTCATTTTCATTGTTATCCCATTTTAATTCCTCATGTACTAAATTTCTTGAAATGAAGTTATAAATTTGTATTAAAAAGTTTGTATGGTGTATAAAATTTATGTTTAAAATTTGTACATAATAGATCAAATTTATCTCTTTTAAAAGTAAGAAATAAAAAATAAGGGTACTAAAATAGAGATTATATACAAAGATACACCGACTAAAATAAATAATAGTTAGTAAAAATAAGTTTTTTGAAAAAAAAAATTCCATATGCACCATAGTATACTACTTCACATAAAGTTTTTAACCATACTCAAAAGAAAAGAGGGTCACAGATCTCAATCCCATCGTAATAAAAGAAGTATATGATCCCGTAAGGATTGGACATCAATCATAATAAGATCAACAATTTACATCATTTTTATTTTTAATTTAATTAAGGGTTTTAAATACTTTAATGTATACATTGTTTTTTCTTTTGTTGTCCGATACAACTACTAGCTTTATTTAATTACCAACGCCGACATAAGAAGCTTGATTTCTCTATGTTTCTTCGGTCCCACCAATTAAACTTTTTCAAACGATGACTTGTCAAATGTATCAAAATATATGGTGTGTGTATAATGTACATATATAATTGTTTGTCCTACGTGGAAAAGATATTTTATATTTTTATACATTCATTTATTTATCACACTTTCCGTTAGTTGAGGTCTATCATCCATCAACGTGGCCTACAGTTTTATTTCCATTAATATCTTTCCAGGATCTGACCCTCGAAGTTCGTGTATTATTAATATTTCCACTGTTACGATTTTTATTTTTTTTCAAAGTTAAATTAAATATTAACAATATAGCAACATCACCATATTTATTGTTTTAAAAAAAACATTTTAAAATATTCAAATCTACCCTTAATATATTAAAAATTATGGGAAATCTTTCTGACAGACAAAGGCTATCCGCTCCCGCTCATTATTTAAGCCGCGAGTTGAGCCCAAGAAATCCACACTTTCCGACGGCGAGTTGATTTGTGCGTCAGGTAAAACCTCTTCGGAAATAATATTTGGTAAATTAAAAATTAATTTTAAGAAACTTTAAAATCACTTCAAATTGATTTTTAAGATATCGTCCAGAGTGATGAAAAATCAATTATACTTTAATTTTTTTTAAAGAAGGACTAATTTTAGTGTCACTTTCAAACATATTCTTATTTCCAGCTACTTAGCCGTATGCTATAATGTTATTTTTAATTAAAATATTAATAAATTTTAATTTAATTAATTATTATTTTATTTTATTGTAATATTTTTTATTTTAATAAATAATAAAAATGAGATTATATCAACTAAAAAAAACATAATTTTTATTTTAACAACTATCATTGCTTTATTGTTATAATGTTTAGTAATTATGAATTCTAGCTTATCAATCTTGTTAATAGAAAAGGTAATAAAAGTGTTAAAGTAATTATTAAAAACGTAAAAAAAAATAGTAAAAGTGGTAAAGTGTATTAAAATGATCTGATGTTAGGTTTTAAATAATAAAGATGAGATCGATGAAGTTTTTTTCAAGATATAAATGATTTTTAAGTTTGTGTGAGTCTCACCGATTTATTTTATTTTAATATTTTATCAATCACGTACCAAGAAATGAAAAATTCATTGATTCTCGTTATCTTGAAGTAAATCAGGTCTAAATTTATTATAATAGTTTTTTAATTTAAAATAAAAATGTATTAAATGATTAAATTTAATCAATAAATTTCTTTCGTTTTTTTTATTTTAAATGGTTCTCATCGAAAGATTTATAAACGAGATCTCTCTCAAGATTGATACATTTTTTGGTCCCAACCAAATCAACACAACTCTAACATATCATCATCGAACTCACTTGGGAATCAAGGTTAAAACAAAAAGGATAGTTGTTTGCAAAAAAATAACATAGAAGTTTCTATGTTGAGTCTAATAGGTTTATTAGCTAATTAATTATTTTTCTTTTAAATTAAAGGATCTGAAATTTATGTTTAATAGATGATTCAGTTATTAATTCACATCATTTTAGATAGGTTTTTATTTTATTATTATTTCCTTTAAATATCTAGTAAGTCATAAAGATTATTAGACACGAAAATGAAAGTCGAAGAAATTGGATATGACATTTTAGGTCTAATAGATGATTCACTTATTAATTCACGTAATTTTAAGTCTAGATATGTTTATTTTATTATTATTTTTTAAATGTCTAGTAAATCCAAAAGATTATTAGACACAAGAATGAAAGTCGAAGAAACTGAACACAAACAATATAAGAAAAATTATAACCACGAGATCATATGCTATACTCCATTATTAGTAAATAAATTTTATGCATAAAAAATTATTGATGTCATTGTTTACATTACGAGGAAGTCATATATTATATTTTAGTTGACTTATTCACTAAAATAAAGAAATTTACAGAAAAAATATGGGACCATAGCAGTGGAGATGTGGCTGCAGATTTCTACCATCGTTATAAGGTAAGATTTTTTGTAGATTTTTTTTTAAGTTTTGGGACCTCTTTTAGATTATTTTATTTATTTATATTTATATTATTTTTGTAGGAAAACCTCTTTTTGATTTAATCACATTAACCTCCAAGACAATATATATATTATGTTCAACAATATGAGTTGTAAATATTCATTATTATAAGTGAATAAATAATAATATCGATAAGTATATTATTATTATTTTTAATTGTCATTTTTTTAAGAAATATTTTAATTGTGATTTAATTTGCAGGAGGATGTAAAAATAATGAAAATGCTTGGGTTGGACTCTTTCAGATTCTCCCTCTCTTGGTCTAGGATTCTCCCAAGTAGGCCTTTTTTTTTTCCCTTTCTTTTTCCCATAATTTATTATTTTTATTTTTTTCACTCCTAATAATTTTTCTTTCCACATAAAAAACTATAGAGGGAAAACTTAGCGGGGGAGTGAATCCACTGGGCGTCAAATTCTACAATAATCTCATCAATGAGCTCCTCGCCAATGGTAATTTTTATTTTATTTTATTGTTGTTTGATAAAGTTCTCTATTTTATTTTTCTCTTATCTTTTTAAAAATAAAGTTAGGCGTCTGATCTTGTTAAATTATTATTAAAAATATGGTACAATACCATGTTAAGTCAACACTTTACATTTAAATATATATATATGTTAGGACTATATGCTTAATATTTTAAATATTTTTTAAACACCTATCATTTATTATTTTTTATCTTTTAAAATCAATATTTATCAACTTGTTTGTAAATACAAGAATAGTACCATATGTCACGCTCTTTCATTGGGATCTCCCTCAAGCACTTGAAGACGAGTATGGAGGATTTTTAAGTCCCAAAGTCGTGTAAGTAACATAGTATAACTACATCAATATGAATATAATTTAATTGATCAAAGTATGTCTACTTAAATATATAGTTCAATTGATTAAAATATATATCATGGACCGAACACAAGTCATTGGTATATCAAATCAAATATATGTCTACATGATATTATTTTTGAACTCCATATTTGTTAAAGATATATTAGATTTTTGCTTTCTTTTGCCTTGGTTGAACTTCCATATTTTCCCAAAATTGAGAAGTGATGGTTACTTTTGCAAATTTCTATTAACTTTGTTTTTCTTTTATAAATAAAGAAGATTAGTTGGGTTATGATGGTAATAAAGAAAATTAATTAAGCAAAATTTGGTGAGTAGGGATGATTATCGGGAGTACGTGGACTTGTGCTTCAAATTATTCGGAGATCGGGTCAAGTATTGGGTAACCCTAAACGAACCATATACGTATACCGCTAACGGCTACAACGGCGGCACCTTCGCTCCCGGCCGATGTTCCAACTACGTCGGAAACTGCACCGCCGGCAACTCTGCCACCGAGCCCTACATCGTCGCCCACCATCTCATCCTCTCTCATGCCGCCGCCGTCGAAGTCTACAAGAAAAAGTACCAGGTGCGTAAATCAATCGAATCGAAGAACGAACAAAATCGCTAATCAATCTCTGAAGTTTTCGATACTAATTTTGTTGAATCGCGACGAATTTGAAACCTACAGGCGAAGCAGAAGGGGCAGATTGGAGTCACATTGGTTACTCACTGGTTTAGGCCCAAACGCAACACGGCAACTTCGAAAAGGGCTGCGTCTCGAGTTCTTGATTTCTTCTTGGGATGGTGAGCGGCCTGTTCTTCACCGTAATCGTTAATTGGGAACTGTTGGTCGAATTTAATTGAAATGATTTTAGGTTTCTGCATCCAATTACTTATGGCGACTACCCGAAGTCGATGCGCCAGTATGTGGGAGATAGGCAGCCGAAATTCTCTGCTGCTGAGGCGAGAATCGTGAAAGGATCGTACGATTTTATTGGAATTAATTACTACACTGGCAATTTTGTTGACGATGTGCCTTTCTCAAATTCACCCAATAAAAGCTACACTTCTGATATGCACGCCACACTCTCCGGTATGTCTTCTCTTCTCTTCTTTCTTATATGAGAAAATTTAATCTAGGGGGAAGAAAATCAATTGTTACCTCTGAATTTCACGTTCTAATCATTACTTAAGCTTGAATAACGTATGCAGTTTTTACTTTAGAATAGATTTTCATTCTAAGAATGATAAGTTTTCTTTTCTTGGAAATAGGACTAGTACAAAATTGATTGGATTCCAAAGAAAGATGACACTGAACTGAATTTTTATTGAAATTTGTGAGTTTTGGAAAATTTGTGTCAGGGATGATTTTGAACATTGGCTGGATTGACTTTGATTGAAATTAGGTTGCAATGTTTGTCTAAATCCAAGGTTGAATTAGATAAAATTGAAAGTTTACAGTGAATTGATGCAGCTTGCTACGTGTTGGGGTAGAAATTGATCTTTTTTCTTCCTTAAATTTATTCAATCAATCAAACCTACTGAGTTTAATCGAAGTTTCCTCTCGATTCTTGATCCTTATTACAAATTC